CACGTGAGAAAATGCGCTGAAAAAAGACGCAAGCCACGAAACTGTGTGTACATGAGAGGCCGGCAGGTAGTTATAAATTTGCGCGGTTTTCGTGGAATGGGTGGGTACTCATATTTTAATGTTAAAAGAGTGGATAACATGAAAAGCTCATCAGACAGTGGGTCACGGAGGGAAGTGACTGTGGATGCCTATCCGGCTGAACTGGCTGACACACCTGGCTTCCGATAAAGAGAGTTCGTAAATTACCGGTAGATACCCCTCTTAGATATACCCCTCTTTAGATGTGCTGTACGCGGACTACAAACCTACAAGTTTTCGAAACTCTTTGTACTGTATTATCACTTTACGAGTTGCAAAAACTAAACTTCTTGACTAGCCATCCGCCGTCCACAACATAAGAAATGAAACCCGTTTCCAGAATTTTAGAAACTCATGAGTCCATGTCATGAACTCCTAAACAGGCCGTGAAAGAGGCATTTCGTATCACCATGGTTAATCAGTTCCTGGATATTCTGATAGTCTTGTGCACTATAAGCCACCCCAACTCACTGTCAGAGACATCCATAGTTAAAGTTGGCGATGCATTTCGTCCAAGTAGGGGTGAAATTCTCACTCGCTACTTTACACTGACCCTTTTAACACGTGGTTTTACAGACAGAGGTGGCCCTTCTAACAACTCTCGGTTGTGCACAATGTTAACAGATTCAGCAACCCCAGTGGGTGGAATTCAGTTTAATCCAGAAGCTAGTGAGGCAACCCAAGAGCCTAGATCTCTTATGTGTAAGTGATACTCGTTATCATAGCACGGCGATCTTCACTGCCTGCTAATTTGTAACTCCCTCAAATAGCAAACATGACGGTGGAAACAACATACTGGTACTTGTTTGTTGGATATAAGCTGTCGTTTTCTTCTCTGTCTGAACGAAAATCACAACCCTCTTACAAATCGTTGGTTTGCTTTGGCACTAACTGACGAACCCATCGGTTAAACAATCCACTTACCCCATCATTTCTACTCCACATATCCTATTACGTAATTCACAACAACCTGTTTGCAAGAATTAAAGTCTCCGTCTAGATGAAAGCGACATTTTCCGCGAAGTATTGAGGAAGAGAACGGGATCTCTCTTTAGTCTTCTAATCCAAACTGACTTCAGCTTTAGGAATAGGGATCCAGACACACAATCCTGTCCATATTCGTATACAAGTAAAGCAGACGCAAAGTACCTCGAATCACGTTCTATCCTAAATTTACCACTTATTGGGTGCCAGTGGGAATGAAAGCGAAGTATTCTTGTGGTGACGTAACACGGATTATGTGAGGTAGTATTTTGACTTCGCGGATGTAGAGTTTGCGGGTAGTACAGCCTGAAAACTGCTTGACTTTCGGGACTGCATTGCAACTTATTCAGTGAAAGTCAGGTCGCCAGGGTACCTCAGATCCAAGTGGAGGCTGCATATCCTCGTAGGCCACAGGACTAATGGTATGCTAACGATGGGTGCACCGGAGCGAGCAGCGGCTGACTCTTTGACACACTAAAATGCATAGACTGAGTTGCATAACTGGGTGGCTGGTCGTAAATATGAGCCAGTAAAAATGCTTATTTGTCACGCCTTGCATGTTAGAAATTTCCTTATCCTTATTCAGTACATAATTACAACACTTCACTACGCTGTTTACCTGAGATCCTGTCCACAACATTACATACATCTCATCAAAGCATCCTTACATGCTCCGTGATGTGTGAGAGCGTGTAAGTCAGCAGTTTGAGTTTGCCTCTTTCGTTTTCTGCTTGCATACGTCTCGTGATCAGACAAAGCTGAATCCATGCGCTTCTTTTCTAAGTGGTTCTTGATCGCAGCAATTTACGAATTTCCTGTCGTGCTTGGCTCCTTGTTACCGCAAGTTTATATTGATGCATCAACCTGCCCCATGATTATGATTTGCGGCCCCACTGTTTCCAACGTCTCGGTGTAATAACTACAGCTGCTGGCTGTTTTCGCTTCTGATTACCAAGTTTCGATTTATACTTAGTTTTAAGTGGGACGATCCAAGGCATCCTAAAACTGACTACTACAGTGGTAAGAAGAGAAGACCTGGCCATTCTAGTGCTTCTTTGTGACGGAAGCATTGTTAAACCGTATGCCTCAGATCCTAGTGGATTGGTAAGATCTAAGCCTTTCGCTAGAATTGAAGACATCACGCTGGTCATGGACCACATTGTTCAGGACCACGGGAAAGAAGTGGATAGTAGTGGGTCCATGATGAAAGAAATTCCGGGAGTGGTTGGGGTTTTCCACCCACTGGCATATCTTTTTTGGAAGCACGAGAACCTAGTTGGAAAGCATATGAAGAAAGTCGAAAATTTAAAAGACCACCCGCAACGGAGGCAATGAAGAGATTAATGTCTCAACAGGACATCGACTATGGTATATCTGATACCGTACGCTTGGATGTTGCTAAGAAAGAGGCATTAAACTCATGTGACATGGCTGTTGGCGCGCCACCAAGGTTCAGTTGCCGCATGACTTTCAATTTCACTACCTCATTCAATGCCAAAAGCTTTATTGACCTTCCAGACCATACAAGGCTACATAGCGACTTTAAAAATATTACTATCCCATGAGACAAAACCACTTGCCGACGCGGAAAACAAAGAATAAAAAGTCTGACCAGTCCATCATTTTTAAAATTGGAGGATTCTGTAAGTGAGAGCAGGCCATCAAGAAGTGTTGATACCTCTCGTAGCCCCGCTGAATGTATCTCTTCCTCAGCACAACAGTCTCAATTAGATCTAGAGGCAAGGGAACCTAACGCTTCAGTTGCCCATAAAACGATGACCAGTAGCACTGCTCCTCCTTAAGGTAACTATAAACGGAAACCCATCGAATGAAAAAAATAACCCTCCTATCATAGTTTTCGACAACAAGAAACGCGTTGACATTTCATCTTCCAGTAACCTGTTTCGACACTCCCTAGACGAACACATCCTCTACGAGAATGGAGACGAGCTATTCCCTCTCTCATCGCTGAAGGGGGAGACAGGCAGAACCCGGAATGCCATCGACCGGTTTCGCTTCTATCAGTGCTGCCAAAAGTCCTGGGAACTTTGTAGGTGGCTTTGCCGTGAATAATTGGACAAGAGTGAGGCACTAAACGTTGCTCAGAGTGGTTTCCGAAAGGGTAGGTCCATCGCCTTAACCCTGCTGGCAGCCGGTGGTAACTGGACGGCATTCTAGGGTTTCCATTTCCCCGTTCACGTGATTTTCCCGCATTTTTCGAAGGCGTTCGACACAGTCCCATGCGCCAATCTCATACTCAAAATATCAAGTTTGGGCATCCCGGTCGGGTGCTATCCGGGTTGGAGGGCTATTTAGATGACAGGGGGTCCTGCACAAAAGCCGACAGAACTCGCCCGACCTGGAGAAAATCATCAGCTGGTGTATCACAAGAAGCGATTCTGAGCCCACTTCTGTTCCTTCCTTTGGTGAATGGCTTCCCACTGAGTCCCAGCCCCTCGATTGTCCTTCACGCTGACTATGTTAACTTATGGAGAGCTATTATATCCGGAACAATCAAGTGTGCCACAGTGCAACCTCAGACTGCTGCCAAAACGTACGAATAATAACGGACTAGCATTTAACCTGGATGAATGCAGAAATATGTTTCTCCGCAATCTCGGTTCGGAAAAGTACCCTACCCTCCCTGCGGTACACACGTTTCTGACACTACCTGAGACTAATACTGACCGGCAGGCTAGACACTGGCTCTAATTGTCTGGGTGATATCTCCAGAGCCAACGCAGTACTACACTTCACGCCCAGACGGCTAGGTGGCCTCACCACAGAAATCATACTGAATCCACAAGAAACCTGGTTATGACCTCACCTGGCGGTCTGCATCATCATTGAATCACAGTGCCCGGAGAGAGATGTGAAACTGCTAGAGGAAGTCCAAAACGAGCGACAAAGGGCATTATGAAAATTTTGGCGAAAATCCTACGAGGACAGACTGGAGGACCTGAGGCTTTACTCTCTTATTTACCGTAGGTTACATGGTGACCTAACAGTGGCTTACAAAGTACTAGGTAATCACTAAACTGCCACGTTGGCAGCCGTTAAGGTAATCCAAAGAGGGTCGCCTATCTAAGGGCGAGAACTCACGTGCGTCCACACTTCTTCGGTTTATGAGTTTGCAGCCACTGTAGTGCGTTGCCTGCGGCGACTGCTTCTATCCGCCTGTAGAAAACTTCAAGATGAGGTTGGACTGCTACTCAGTGGCACGGCTTGTTCTCGTATAGCTTGGACGCAGACTTGGTCTATACAATCAACGACTTCCACATCATTCTGATACAGCCAACCCCGTACCCAATCTCTTTTATTGTCACTACCATCGCAAACTTGACTCAACCTTGTACTTCCTTGTTAGACGTGTCATCTCCAGTCACCTTATCTCCACTATTAGCACCAGTGTTTCTATTCGTATCATTCCTCCCTTAGTCTTACCATTTCTGCCTCCCCTCTGTGACCACAAGAATACACTTTACTCATTAAGGTTCTCACTATCACAGTTCTCTTTCTATCCTCCCTAAATCCACCTAGGTTTCTCCTTTCCTCTGGGTCTGCTTATTTTTTGCTAGTTTTTTCCCACTGAATCTCTTTCGTTTTCCTTGGGCATCTTTTTATCCCTCATTTTTTTCGACCAGTCCAAACGACTGTCCAATGAGAGGAAGTCTGTAGAACCTATCTGGACAATCCTTGGATGAATCGTACAATGCCTGCAAATTGAATCAACACAAAACCGTTTGTCGTGTTATTCGGACCCGCAGCACACCAGTGGTTGGAATTACCGCCTAAGAGTCTGCTGGAGACATGGAAACGTCCCTCAAGACCTACAAGAGAGTGCGGAGAAATCATCTGGCTTGCACAAGCTGGTAGTAGGGATTTTACATATTCTTTTATAAAGAACGACGGTTGAGATTTTCTTTGTTAAGACTTAGGGAGGTAATTTTCAAAATGTCAATGCGCCCTTGAATTTTTGCTACAAACTGCCCATCCACTTATTTTTCTTGTTCTTAAAATCATTGCTTATACAATGGACGACTTTCTCACATGGCGGTAAACCGGCGCGCGCAGTTCACTCAAGGCACTACTTGGTGAGTTTGGGTAAGTGTTGTTGTTGTCGTCTGTAAAATCGGCAGTTTTTGATTTTTTTTACATGGAAGTTACAAGAGTCCATATAAGGCATAAGGAATCATTCTGCAGTATCTAGACTTCACTTTTCGATTTGTTAAGGCATAGCGATAATAACTGGTTGGACACAAAGTCCTACTGTTGTATTATTCTTTCGCATTAGTGACAGTAATCCCAAAAGATCTGTTAAAAGATTGTTGTACATAGCGAACACTTATTGACGTAGAGACTAAGTGTTCCTCGATCACCAGCGCTGGTGGTTTCGTATACGGCTAGCCGTATATGAAATTCAACTTTATAGTTGAGGATATGGTGGCAATAAATCTTCGAAAAAGTACTTGACGAAGATCGCGAAATTAGCATGAACATGGGTCTTTGATTGAAGGTGGTCAATTGCATAAGTCAGCGGAAAACTTCCCACGATAGCGCGTCGGTACAAGTTATCACATCCCAGAAAAAATCAAATGTAAGTCTGTGGACTCAATAGAGAATTACACTTAGAAGTTCACATTTTTCTTTTATACTAGACTGGCACAGATTTTATCATCTGATTTTAAAAATGTAGTTCATTCTAGGAATGGATAAGGGAACTAGAAAAAGTCTGTTTGAAAAATGTAATCTATTTGCTCCACATACCCAACAATCTCATCACACACTTACTTACCAAGATGATGATAATAGTGACAAATATGACAGTAGTTCGTCAGCATCAAGGTGGAATTCGGCCTTATTGCATAACGGTCCATGATGCAATGTTTCTTACCAACACATCAAGATAGAAGGCACCAAGATGAAAGATAGAAAGATAACTAAGGAAGTAGTCAAAACTATCACCAACCGAGTTTACATTTCCCTAAAGAACTCAGACCAACAGTTAAAGACTTCATGAACTAATGCTGTGTTTGGCTTGTCTTCCTTCCTTCCAAACTAAACCTACTTCAGTTATCATTGTATGACTGAGCAGACGGAGACTAAGCTTGTAACGCACATCCGAACCACCTCAGTCGGTGGCTTGGCTTTTGCATTATTAATGTAGGGATTTTATAACATGGTTTATGCCTCTAAGATAACGATGGTCGAACAACCGAAACTTCACGTCTTCTACTTTTAATGGCGATCCTTCACAGCCTTATAGTGGACTGTTACGCTGGACTTATAATAGACAATGGAATATCGCACGGGTGTTATAAATGATGTCAGTTTAAACCAGGCACCTTTTGTGACGGTGCAGAGATTTAGTCACTGACCCACCAAGGCTGCTATTACATATGGATAATGTTTACAGAATTGATATTAAAACAACCTTTAAAACGTATAGAAACTATCACGAGCGTATACTTAGGCTTACCAACGCGCTAGTCGTACGCAAATTTGAGTCCCCTATATGTGTTCAAAAACAACTTGTTCTTACGCTAAACATACCGTGGTAATATTTGTCTTATCCTATGATCAAGGTTGGTTTCAAAACTTGGCATCGTTTTGTTACTTTCCCTATCATTGCATTTTTGCTGTGATTTATCCTTCTACTGTTTCCATTTTTATTCTGAAATACTTTGACAAGTTAATGTACGATCAGGTTGTTCATAGTGTACTATGCAAATACATGGCATTTTTCAGGTAGACGACGGATTTTAGTTATTTTATTTAAATTAATTAAAATTAATAATTCTGCAGCAACCAGCGTTTACGGTTGTTTAATCACCTCATCGTTTTGTGATGATCTTTATTTAGCAAGACATTTTTCGATTCCTCGAACTTCACCTTTGAAATTTATGTATGTGTTCTGTGTAGTTATTAGCGTTTTAGTTGACTGCTTTGCTATTAAATATACTTTTTAGTTACTGAAACCCTTAAAGTGGTTTTGATACGAAGAAGTCGACTTCAGTTTTCAGGTAATTCAAACTTTTAAAAAGTCTGAAAAGATTTGTTAAGCGTAGGGGATATATGAAATTGGTATTAAATACCCAATTCATATAACTAGGTTGAACAAAAATCTCATGATCGATCTACCCCGATTTAAAACGATATATAATGGTTTTAATCATATTCCCGTCGTTCTGTGTCCAGACGTACACGTTTTTTAAATCGAATAAGATAAATATGTCAACAGAATAGCCATTTCCCCCTACTATTGTAACGATTGTAAACTATAAAATCCTTGTTTCTATGGTTAGTATCATTCTTGATCAAACCATTTGAGATATTTTTGGTTGGCAGCAGCTAGTGTGTTAGTTTGAACCCGATCACGATCAAGTTTGTCATGTTTGCCAATTGCTGTTATATGAAATGCGATTCTGACCGCTTATTTCAAGGTTCTACTGTCGCATGTTAAACGTTTCTTATTCCTAAACCCTTTGTTAGTGCTGCACAAACAATTCCGAAGCACCATGAAAGACTTGATTCACCTATAAGTCTAAAGCCTTACGGATTGGTTTTCGTGGTTTCCCCTTATGCATATTCCTACTGTTTTTGTTTGTTATCAATGAAAGTAGAACATGCCTCACCCGTTTCCTATTATTTATCCAGGCAGGTTTCTTCGTATGAAAGCAAGCTAATTCAGGTGGATTGATCCAATAAATGAAGTCGGAGAAGGGTGGGGGGGGGGTTGTAGAATAAGTTCTGATGCTTAGTAGTGCCAGCTTTGATTTAGTATTTTCCACGGGACTTGAGATCCAGTTACCAAATGTATGCTTCACAATATCAAAACGGCCCACTGAATGTTGAGAAGAACCAAAAAGGCTCTAGACATAGACGAGGATGGATTTATCAGATTTTCTCCCTTTGACAGGCTTTAGAACATAAGCATACTTACCTGACGCGCCATATTTCCTAAAAACATATATTCGGCATTTAATTTCGTCTATCCAGAGATATTTTGGCAGTGTCGTACTGAAAGGAGTACTGATTAAATGCGGGCGCCGAACCATTTCTAAATAAACTCTCAACCTTGTAAGTGCTAACGGAGAGATTTCATGTGGGATGAAGGCAACCAATGGTATCCTTCGGCGATGCCCACTCACCATTCATTCCCAACTTTACTGTAGGACTCTACGTACTTTCGACCTTTGAATAATTGACTTATTATCCAAGGTATATACAAGTGACTTGAAGTACGCAGCATAGCTATTAGACGAAGGCGCCAAAAAATACAATCTAAACATTTCGAGCAAAAATCTGAGTATTTTTGAGATGCGTTTCTCACCTGTTAAAAGTAAAGATGGTGCTTCAGTAGTGATTTCCATCGACTTCTAGCACATACAGATTATTTTTTATCATAGGTGTCCAAATATTTCCGGTGCGTAAAGAAATCTCTACTTGAACAACTCCAGATCTATTTGTCGAGTACTAGACATGGAAGTTTAGTCAGTCAGTGGAATCGCGAATTCTCTACAACTGGCGTGGTTTGGACATGTGTTGAGCACGCCTAGTCACCATCTACACGTGACGATAGCCAAAGTAGGGTTAGGTTGAACGGAAGCTTAGCTAAGTCAATCAAGTTGTTGTTTAGTGGTTGGAGATTCTTAGTGATAGGGTTTAATATCAATCGTAATTGTGCAAACGTATCTACTCATTCTGATCTTCGAAATCTCGGACTTTTTACTAACCTTCACTTATTCTTTCACGTCTCACGCTTTTTTTGAATGCGATTCTATTTCTGCTCACTTCTTTTTGTATTGACTTGAACTAACGCTTGTGCGCAAAGCTCTACGTTAATTTATCGTGTTAGCAACTTGTAATCAAAAATGAGTCCATATAGTGATAATAACTACCAAACTCAGCAACTGGAAATCGGTTTGTATGTGGAGTGTGGCCTCGAAATACTGTCTAGTCACTGAAAGCGTAGTAGATGAAGTGAGTTTGAGCGCGTAGACCAACGTAATAACAACATGAAGACAATAGCATTTTGCAAAGTTACTAACGGTGGATTGCTTTGCCAACATTTGTTTGCTTGACATCTTATGTTTTAAGCAATTATAAAGGTAGTTCTACTTTGTCTCTAAAAATAGTCTTGAAGAAAAAGATTTTTGACGCCAAGATGCCTTCTAATCGCAAACGGACTTATCGCTCTTGGCATATGGTACGTAAATATGATTCTGATTTTGTCAAGAAAGCAGTGAAGACTTATGATCATTTTCGGGGATGGCGTTACACGTGGTACACAATGCAACGTAGAGTTTTATAGAGTACCGGAATCAGACCGTTGGTAGAATGACTCAAAGTCGATGCATTTACTTCTCATTTTGAACATTATTCTAGACATTTATTCGGTGTCTCGTGGTATGTTAATAGTTCACATTACCATACTTTATCGGAATGATTTCTGCAGTTGTTTCCTAGGATTGCAACTTTAACTTGTACATTACTGCCAGTAGCTACCGTTTGAGTCGATATTCAAATAAAATAACATTGTTTGGAAGTTGTGCTTTCAAACTTTTTCCGGTTACTTTCTCCAGGCTAATTCAATGATAAGTGAATTATTTCCAGGGTTTCACGTTGACTAAAATGATTAGAGAAATATGAGAATGATAAAATTGTCAGCTAAAATAAATGTTCCACTGTTACCGCTATCAAAGTGTTCTGATCAAGGTAGGGAGAGTTTATTTTGGTCCCATATCTTTGAGGTAGATTTAATATCCATAGTTTTGATCTATAGGTGCTGAGTTGGGAAATCGTTTGCCTAGAAAATTTACATAACTCAGTACTTCGAAATAATCATATATTTATGGAGTCACTTTTATTAGCTAGTAACTTGGTCATCTATACTATAGTTATTATTGCTAACGGGATATATGAAAACTGATATCGATTATGACAAGAATCTAATCTAAGTAGTTTAGATTAGTTCTCGCCTTTAAGTTTGAGTTTTGTTGGGTTAAAATTGAATTAGCATGATTTCTATTTATTTTGTAGAGATGGAGATCCAGGCAATCCACCAAAACTTGCACTGGGAACCTAATAACATACAGAATGCTAATTACACTTCTGACGAAGATGATTTCGAAAGCGGAAATAGTACCGCGAAACTGTATGAACGGTCACGTATTAAGGCTCTTGCAGGTTGGTTCTCGATTGGTTGGTAACCAATTTGTCATTTTAGATGAGCGTGAGGTCGTTCAGAAAAAAACTTTCACAAAATGGGTGAATTCCCACCTCTCAGTTGTTTCTTGTAATATTGAAGATCTGTATTTGGATCTAAGAGATGGAAAAATGCTCTTAAAACTTCTTGAGATTCTTTCCGGTGAACGTCTACCCCGGCCAACAAGAGGCAAGATGCGGATTCACTGTTTAGAAAATGTGGATAAGTCGTTAAATTTCCTTTGTGACCAGCACGTTCATCTGGAAAATGTGGGTGCTCACGATATTGTTGACGGGAATGCAAGATTGACACTAGGACTTATCTGGACCATTATTCTTCGCTTCCAAATACAGGATATAATTGTTGAAGAGTACCAAACAAGTGAAACTCGTTGTGCTAAAGATGCATTGTTACTGTGGTGCCAGATGAAAACTGCAGGTTATCCCAATGTCAATGTTCGAAACTTTACTACAAGTTGGCGTGACGGTTTAGCTTTCAATGCCTTAATTCATAAACATCGACCTGATCTAATAGAATATTCCAAACTATCTAAATCCGAACCCATAAAAAATCTAACTACTGCCTTCAGTATCGCTGAAGAAAAATTGAATCTCCACCCTCTACTCGAACCTTCTGATGTAGCTGTTGAGCAGCCTGATGAAAAGTCTATTATTACTTATGTTGTAACATATTATCACTATTTCAATAAAATGAAGGCCGATACTGTACATTCAAAGAGAATCGGTAAGGTTGTCAACCAAGCTATCGAAACCGATGATATGATAAATCAATATGAACAATTAACTTCAGACCTCCTTGACTGGATTAAAAAAACCATAAAGCTTCTGGATGATCGTACGTTCGCTAATTCTCTCTCTGGTGTACAACATCAGTTAGCTGGTTTTAACACGTACAGAACTGTTGAAAAGCCTCCCAAGTTCAGGGAAAAAGGAGGTCTTGAAGTTTTACTTTTTACTATTCGGAGTAAAATGCGTGCTAATAATCAAAGGCAATATAATCCACCTGAAGGGAAAATGATAGCTGATATAAATCGTGCTTGGGAAATGCTTGAAAGAGCTGAACATGCGCGAGAATTGGCTGTACGAGATGAACTCATTCGACAGGAGAAGTTAGAACAATTGGCTTCTCGTTTTGATCGTAAAGCTGGAATGAGAGAAACATGGCTTACTGATAATCAGCGACTCGTTTTACAAGAGTTCTTTGGTGATAACCTTGCAGCTGTCGAAGCTGCAACGAAGAAACATGAGGCCATCGAGACGGATATATATGCCTACGAAGAACGCGTAAATGCAATGGTTAATGTTGCTGAAGAGCTTAAACGAGAAAATTATCATGCTCATGAGAACATCCAATTGCGTAGAGATAAAGTACTTGGTATGTGGCGTAACCTACTTGATTCATTGAGCCTTAGACGCCAACATCTGGAACTAAGTTTACAACTGCAGCATATCTTCCAAGAAATGACCTATCTAATGGATTGGATTGATGAGATAAAGAGCCGTCTTAGATCTCAGGATTACGGCAAGCATTTAATGGGGGTTGAAGATCTCCTGCAAAAGCATAGTTTGTTAGAAGCTGATATGCGTGTTCTTGGTGGTAGAATAAACCAGGTTGTTGACCAAGCTGCTCCATTCATTGTTGGCTCATTTACGCCGGATGTTGGTGCATACAGACCTATTGAACCGGAAATTGTCCAGGAGCGCACTGAAAAGTTGCGTGCAGCGTATGAAGACTTACATGACTTAGCAGAGGCTCGTCTTCGTGGTCTTCGTGATTCAAGAGAAATGTGGCAATTCTTCTGGGATATGGAAGATGAGAAAGAGTGGATAAAAGAAAAAAGTCAGCTTATGTCAAGTCCAGACTTGGGACATGATCTAAGTTCAGTAAGCCGTCTTTTGCGTAAACACAAAGCCCTGGAAGAAGAGTGTCAAATGCACCGAGCCGTCCTAGAAGATGCACTAAAACACGGTGAACAACTTATGGCAGATGGAAATCAAGGTGCTGAACAGATATCTCAGCGTATCGTTGAAATGAATCAGTTGTGGGGTCAGTTAGTTGACTTGATAACAGAACGTAAACAACGCCTAATAGAATCACAAGATTTCTTCCAATTAATGGCAGATTGTGATGATGCAGATGTCTGGTTAACTGATCAGCAGCGTATTGTTAGCAATGAAGATGTTGGCCTTAAACAAGCTACAACAGAATCCTTGCTTAAAAACAACCAAGAGGTTATGGAAAATCTGCTAAAGTATCAGGAAACTATATCTCAATTAAATCAAGATGCATCACGAGTATCTGACTATCCAGACAGTGATGCCGCAGCTATAGCACATCGTTTAGATGCTGTCGATCAACATTATGCTCTTGTCAAAGAGTTGTGCAAACTACGACAAAAACGTCTGAATGATGCTCTTTCAATGTATAAATTGTTTGATGATTCAGATACTGTACGAACGTGGATAACTGAAAAAGAAAAACTCCTAACTACATTAGTTCCAAGCGATGAAATTGAAGAATTAGAGGTCATTCGACATAGGTTCGAATGTTTCGAAAAAGAGATGGCTGGTAATGCTGAGAAAGTTGGCAGCGTAAATCTACTTTCTGAAAGGATGCTTGATAAAGATCACCCAGATGCTGAGAAAATCTTGAGACATCAAGATGAACTCAATGCCTCATGGAATGAATTAGCTGATCTTGTTGATAAGCAGAAGAAACAATTAGACTTATCCTATCAGTATAACCAGTTTCTCATTGAAAGTGCAGAAACAGCCAACTGGATAAAAGATAAGGCTAAATTAATCGAATCAACTGATGAATTAGATAATAATCTGGAGGGTATAATGCAACTTCAGCGTCGACTTGGCGGATTACAACGGGATTTGAACGCTATTGAAGCTAAGGTTAAACACTTGGATGAACAGGCGCAAGAACTTGCTGAAGCTAAACCGGAAACTCAAGCCGTAAGTTATTATCAGTACGTAATAGGTTTCCCCCTCCCTCCTAGGTTGTTGTAGCTGAAAAAGAGAAGATTCATGATTTATGGAATGAGTTAAAGGAGATTGTAAAGGAGAGAGATGATCGGCTCAATGACTCGAGTGAGTTGCAACGTTTCTTGCAAGACTTGGATCATTTCCAAATATGGCTTAGGCGCACTCAAGTAGCCGTAGCTTCTGAAGATATTCCAAACAACTTAGAGGTTGGTTCTATGATCTCATTTCTCACATATCATATAGGAGGCCGAAACTCTTTTGGATCAGCATGAACAATTGAAAGCAGAAATCGATGGATACGAAAGTGACTTCCATCGACTTATGGATTTCGGTCGACGAGTGACTGAGGTCCAAACAGATGCACAGTACATGTTTTTGGCCCAGCGGTTAGATGGTATTGAAGAAAATTGGGAAGCTTTACGCCGAATGTATGATAATCGTACTGGAGCACTACAAGATGGTGTTGAGGCTCAGGTAAGTCAAAAGCTGTTTTCTGTCCTTCTAATTGTCATATTAGACATTCTTCAGAGATGCACTGCAAGTTGAGGTCCTTTTAACAAAAATGGAGAAAGTCGTATCTAAGGAAGAAGCTCCTGTAAGTTAATTTGTATATGATAATTCCCTTTTCTGTATCATCATTCACATTTGTCTACTTTAAGCGTGCATTTATCTTCTGAGTTTATTTCTATCAAAACATTGTTAAAGTTCCCAATCTTTGAACCCGCTAATAGAGGAGTCACCCCATGCTCACACGAAACTTTATTCCATTGATTTTAGCAGCCGATATTTGATTTGCTCCACCTACCGAGAATCGGTTATCTAGGTAGTACAGTACACCAGCATTCACATGGTAGGTGTGACTCATTCCCTAATGCAAAAACCTGCGTGTGCTTGTTTAGTTACATTCTTTTTGATATATGCATATTTTTAAACTAAGTGGTCCACCTCTTGAACCTAACAGCTAAATAAAACACAAAGAAAGAATCATACATTGTGCTAACGATAGTTTCCCCTCATTACTAGACACCAAAACGTTAACCCACATATTAAACCGTCTTCAAATCGCTGTATTAACTCATATATAGTTTCCACAAAAAAACAAACATTGTCTACTCAGATAAACCTGTGGAATACAAAAAAAGACATTTAAACATTGACTATGTGAGACAATAAACATGCAAACACAAAACTAGAAACCCAGCGTAATAATTAGTCGATCAGAATTTTCACAACTCACAAGCAACACAGCAGAAAAGCAATGATTAGAGTACTGGAATAATGGAGACAATGATGGTATCCCCGGCGACATAGAACTCGAATAAATGTGGGAATCTAGATAGGCTTAGGAACAACTATTTCTGTTCGTTCAACCAATTATATAACGTCATAGAATTTGATCCTATGCTGCAGTGATCCACTGAAGATGGCAAAAGATCAGTACAGTATTCAATCAAAAAAATGTGAGATTTGACTGGAACATACTTGCTACATGAAAAATGCGATCTCCTTATCTTAGTGAAAATAATTATGGAAACAGCATAGTGTTTAATCCACATTTTGGAAGGTACTTATCATTGTTCTTCAAAAGTGATATGGTCTTTTATTCTGTTTACAAAGCACTATTTATTCACCTTGTGTGGAAAAATACTAATTTTGTTTGCTTAGACCTCCCTTGAGATGGCACAAGAAAATCTTCGTAATTTTGAAACTTTCCGAGCCTCCTTGGTACCAACGGATGAGAAGATTGACAACGTGCTAAACGATGGTGCAAGGTTAGTCGCACGCGGAACTTTCCCTGCTGAAAAGATTCAAAACAAATGCGAACAAATTAAACAACGGTAAGCTGTAATATTGATTGTTTATTTTTCCAAACCATTTTCATCACTTTACTTTTATAAAACATCAATTTTAATTTTCCCAATTATTCTTCCTTAGACGAGATTGTCTCAAGACGCGGGCAGAAGAACATGGTCAAAAGCTTAAGGAGCAACTGCATCTTCAAGAATTTTGTCAGGACGTAGATGATGTAAGTATTCATATTCTACGGTGTGACTTATACTTTCCACTTTTAGGCAGAAGAATGGCTTGCTGAGAAAGCTATGGTTATAACAGAACAACCAACACCGCTTGCTCGAAATATTGCTGCTTTGTATGGACGATTTAAGGCATTTGAAGGTGAACTGGAAGCAAACAAGGATAAAATTGCCAAAGTTATCGAGGTATGCTTCTATTGATTCAGTTTTTCCAGCATTTGTTTCAATTTAACCCATATTCTGTCGTAAAGTCGTCCGTCTTTTTGGTAAATCAGTAGTAAGAAGAATAAATCACTCAAAACGGATTGTCTTCTGTAAAAATATGGGCTGTGCGAACTCATTTAGTCTACATAAAATATAATATAATATAATAATATAATATATAATATAATATAATATAATATAATATATATATATATATATATATAATATATAATATAATATATAATATAATATAATAAATATAATATAATATGATTTGATCGAAAATACGAGATGCTTTTCACAGCATCAGTCGTGCAATCGAAACAAATTTTTTTTCCAACTACACCCATATTTAAATGCTACATTAACTTAGTTGTCGAGAGATATTTATTTTATATCTTTCTGTAGCCATCCGCAGTTTATATACCTAGTTTGATTTTCAGTGGTATGTAGGGTTAACTAGTTTAATATATGCTGTAAACGTAGCAGAAATGGATGCGTAGAATTTGGTTTTATTGACAATAAGAGACGAAACATAGAATAACGCTTATGTTTGACTTTCATTTCACTTTCCGCATATCGGATAATCTTATTTTAGGAAGGAGAAGAGCTCATTGCTACACATCCTGTTCTTCAAGTGCAAGTTGAACCAAAAATATGTGCCTTACGCAGGCAATGGGAAGATCTCAATACCACTACAGCCGACAAAAGTGCAAAAATGGCTGACGCTAACAGAGGTAAGTGATCGATCTAACTCTGCTATTGCTACCAGCATTATTACTGTCATTATCATTGTTTATGTATTAAGGTTCTTATCTATTGACTTTGAACTTCTCCAGAAACCTTATTCGACGAAACTGCCAAGTCAATGCTTACCTGGATCACTGAAGTCAGCTCTCAAATTGTTACTACTACAGAGGAAGTTACTGAAGAAATTGGTCTTGTTGAAATTAATGAACACCTCAAAGATCAGGAACGAAAAGACCAAGAATTGGCTGCTAAACGCCGAATGCTTCAGGATATGGCGGTAAGTTACATTTTACACCCAGAATTCACGATAATTTTGTCTTGGGATGACAGACAACTTAATACCATTGATACCCTGGACATTGAGTATATAAACTGCTAAAAATATTCATGAGTTATCAGGACTGGCTGAAGTTTGTGACATGGATTGCTTTCATTTATCAAATCAGTTGGGCTGTTTATCGATTCTTTCCTACTTTTCGTTGTCAGTGTAACCGTTGCAGTTATGTGTATGTGTATTAGCACACAGCAGATACCAGATGAGCCATATTAAAGATTGGTATTGAGTTTGTTCACAAAAAAGGGTAATCAGTTGTTAAGGTCCTGAGTTGTCATCATTTGAAGTTGTTGACGGATACTGCTTTAGAGCTACTACTTACCTGCTTTATGATTCTGAGTGGAATAAGATTAGGTTTATAAAAAGCTAATGACAGTCAGATAAAGAGATAAAATGAACCTGTTAACTATTTAGGATGTGTAATTTGTCTGGTTGTGGTCGTTGGAATGCTAATAGTCAATCTTGTCAAACTTAAGGTAACGTAACTCAAAATCGATTCATTTGGGTTAGTTACATTCCCGTTTTATCCTCCTCTGAAGCTCTTATATTTAGTTATTCTACACCTAAAATTTTTCGTTCTCTCGAATGCTCTTTTCATTTATTTTTATATCTCCTTACTTCTTCTTGTTTTGAACCTTTAAGCCCAATTTCAATGGCTGGTACTTACAAACTCAATCACCTGGTAATATGACGACTTGTGTGATAAGTGCATTTTGTTGTCGCAGAGTACTCCATTGGTTATAAATTAGTCATTTAAAATCGGACACATTCCTTATTTTCCCTAAAAGTGACTTATACGATTTTAGGTGTAACTCCTTATGAAGTTTTTATGGATAAGATAAAAATACCTATAGTCTTACGGTGTTTCAGTCCAAACATTAATTCAGCATTTCTGTCTTTCCTGACTTAACTGTGCTGAACGTTATTTCTGGAATTTTTCTAATGATATAAATAAGTTCATGTCTGTAAGTAGTGTGTGCTTTACGAATGCCTCTAGTTCTCAAGTGATCAACTGTATATTGAGTGTTTTGTAACTTGTAGCATTTAATTTGTGCTTAAATATGTCTCTCTAGACACATGCGGAAAAACTCAAAGAGCAATATCCTGAACGTCGTGAAGAATTCGAACAAGTTCATCAGGAAGTTCGTATTCGACTCACTGAATTGGAGGCTCCTTTGGCCGATCGCCGAGATCGCCTTGTTAAGCAAAAGAGAGTTCGACAGTTCTTAAGAGATATTGAAGATGAGAAAGATTGGATCAAAGAGAAGTTGGCACTTATTGAAGACTCTAGCAAGCTTGGAAGTTCTCTGCTTGCTACACAACAGCTTATAAGACGTCATCGTATGTTGTCTAATGAAGTGGATAATCATCGTCCACGTATTGATGCAGTTTGTCACGTATGTTATTAGTATTGTCTATCAGTGTTTCACTTTTTGCTTGTAATGTTCATTTTGTCACTTTTTTATCAACCTAATTACTTTTTCTAAATGCGAAAATCGCATGTGGATCCGGACGAAATGAACATATAGTAAAAACGAACAAATGGTTTGAAGGAAAATGTAGCTCAGTATAATTCCACTGTCATCAATGATTTTAATCCAAAGAGATACTTAGGATTTTTATATTCACTGTTGTTAAAAATTATATCGCATGAGCGTGTGGGGAAATACTTAATGAAGAATCTCATCAGCGTCTAAATTGTGTTATTGACAACCAGGCTTTCACTGTATGTGGTGAGATTGTCACTATCGAAAGCTCGTCACCATTTATGTTATCACATGTAGGATCTTGCAGATACATTATTATTACTATTCGTCCTTTGGGTTCCTAGTGGAACATAGGGCTTCAGTAGTTCGTCACCATTTAACACTTCTCTGCAGTCTTTTGAAGCTGGTTCCACCACTGCCCAGAAGTTTTCATTTCTTCCTCACCCGATCTCCTTCATGTCACCCTCAGCTGGGACGCCCACCTCGTCGTTCCCCATTTGGGTTCCACTCGAGGGTGTGGCCTGGGGCGTGATGTCCCCAAATGGTCTTCTCCGTGTATGCCCGGATACAGGATGAGGTAAAATAAATTTTAAAGAAGGTGAACATTTGTGATGTATACCGCTTATCCTAGTGATCGCAGCTATAGTAGGTTTTGAATAGTGTCAAATTTATGAATGTTAGCAAGAACATTTTATGAACAAAGTCTATTCCGCAAAATATCATGTTAGTGTTTGTGATTTAAACCTGTCAGAGTACTCACTCTTTTTTTTCTCATCAAATTTACTCCTCTGATGATATACTTTGTAATTGTTTCCCATTAGGAAGGGGAACAGATGATAATTGAAGGTCATCCGCGAAGTGATCGTTTCCGTGAGGCAATAGATGAACTTTGGGTTTTATGGGAGCAGTTACAACGTGTGGTAGTTGAGAGACAACAGCAACTGGCACAAAACGAGGTTGCACAGCAGTACCTATTTGATGCCAGCGAAGCAGAGGCATGGATGGGAGAACAAGAACTTTACTTAATGGGTGATGAGCGTGCTAAGGTTGGTCTTTTCTGTTATTTTTTTTACATAGTTTTAAGCTCTACGCTTTTCATTTCGTAACTGTTTCATCATAAGAAAGGATTAAAAGCTTATGCAAATCAGTTTTTAGGAATATTAGTTAAATATCTGAAATAAAGCGATGTGAACATGAGTTCTTTAACAAATTATCACACGTAATTCATGCTAAATGTGACATACTAATGCTCATCGGTAAGTTAGTATGAGTTTTAAACTTTTTTTGTACTACTTCGAGTACTTTATTCGAAACCTTCCTATCTGATGGCTAACAAACCCAGTGCGTGTGTCTGGTATCGTAGCCACTTCACTTACTCTTCAAGGCATCTAAAGTATTACCAGTTTCCCTATGAAACTTGCTCTTCTGTATTATCTATCTGGTTATCTCGAATTGCTTGCTCAATTTGTTATTCAAACGAATGTACCAAACAACACTGTCAGTGATGATAAGGTTAGAATGGCGTTTCTGACGATCAATATAGGCCATTATTGGTGTTGCTTTTTGATAGGTACGTTAAGCCACGTATTCTAGGAACAATTATCGATAACTTCATCAATTTCACCTTGGATACATGACAGAAAACCTGGTAAACTCGTATAGCAGTGTAATAAATGTACTGTAAACAAAACTGTTAGAATAATTTGTGTTTTGTTGTTTCTTTTTTAATTGTATCATCCATTCTAATGATATTCACAGGATGAACAAGGTGCAAACAACGCAATCAAGAAGCATGAACAACTTCAGAAAACTGTCGAAAATTATGCCACTGAAATCCGTGGACTGGGTGAACGAAGCCAGGCCTTATTGGAAGCCAACCACCCAGAGTCTGAGGCTGTTGTCGCTAAGCAGGCACGTATTGACAAGATGTATGCTGGCTTACGTGACCTGTGTGGTGAACGCCGATCGAGATTAAATGAAATTCTGAAGTTATACCACCTTTTACGAGATATTTTAGACCTTGAGGTGAGTGTAGTGCACTTTATTGTCGAAATACATGATTTTTGAACTAGCCATTTTCACCACTTAAAATACGCTGCATAGCTCAACCTACTAAGCTTTTGACACTAAGAGGTAGAACCCTAAAAGGAAAAATGATAGTAGTGTGGACATAGTGTGAAAGTACAACAAGACTATAGAACAAGCAGAAAATGGTAATGCAAATATGCACCTATGTAAAGTATCGTCACTTTAAATGAGATGAGAATGTAACATTATTAACATTAGATCCAATTCCAATTACTGTATGGAGTCAGAAACTGTTGAGTAGCACTATCTCTTAGGAGGACTGTGTCACTAAACTGACTACTCCAAATCTTTCAAAGCAATTTTAGATGTTGATCAACAATAATTAGTATATAAACCAATATACGTGAGTGTTTTCAATCACCGAAACACGTCATGCAAAAAATATTTTCATTTTATACTTTCTGCAAAGTACCTATAAGCACTTTGTTTTCACCTTCATTATCGTTTCGGTCAGTCTTCACCATTTCACCATGTCGTTACAAAAATGTTACAAGAGCACCTTACCAATCCTGGTGGGTGTGCGTACTAGACTATAAGCTTCAGTCAGTGTATTAGAGCTCGAAATGTTAATCTGTTTCTCATGACGGAGGTGCGGGTTTCAAGTCTGATTCCTTGTCTAATAGTCAAGTCACTGCCCCATATACTGTCCTACATTTTATCATGAATAGTTGTCTGACTGGCATAATCATTATCAAATCTTTATTATTTGATAAATTTTGAAGTTGGCATAAACCGGTTGAAGTTGTGGCTCATCTACTCGACTTTCAATCAATGGATCCAGGACACAAATCGCCCTCTACTTATTTTGACTTACGCAGTCAGATGGTATCATAAATCCTTACGTATTAGGTGTGGCTCGTAACCTAGTGCGTATACCTTTGTCGGATTGGGCTGCATTAAATTATTATTAGTATTATCGTTATTCTCACTATCATCAATGTCTAAGAGTAACTCAATTATGTAAACTATCATTTCTCATGCATTTCTTTCCCCTGTATTTTTATGCGTATTAAACTCCCAAGTATAATATACGTTTCCACTTTTTCCGATAAGCGTCATTTCAGAGATATCTTTCAATATTTCAGGCTTGGATTGCAGAACGTATCTTAATAGCTAGCAGCCACGAAGTTGGTGCAGATTATGAGCATTGTTGTTTGCTTAGAGAACGCTTCACTGAATTCTCTCGTGAGACGAATGAACTTGGTAAATATCGTATCAGTGGAGCCAACGAATTGTGCAATGCCCTTATTGGTCAAGGACACAGTGAGGCTGCAGAAATTGCCAGCTGGAAAGATCGTGTTAACGAGGCTTGGGCTGACCTTCTGGAGCTCATAGACACGCGCATTCAACTTTTGAAGACCGCATGGGATCTGCATAAATTTTTAGCTGACTGTCAGGTATGTTTAATCTATAACTGTAACTAAATAGTGAGGACGACAAACCAATCATACATTTCACTGTCATCTATTCCTGGATAGCTTCTCACTTCACGAGTCTCAACTAGGTCTGTCTAATTACCCTGATATAACATATTCTGTTTATATTCCAGTTGCTTGAGGACCAATTACTGCTTCTTTTCTTAGGTTCATCACTTCTCTACTTTTCGCTTCCTCGTATTCGAATTAAAAAGTTTTGCATTGTCAATTATAATCCTTAACAGATTGCAATACAGTTAACAGTCCTAAGATTCTATCAATAGCCGAGCTAGTCGTTTGCATATCTTATCATTTGTCTCATACCTTGGATTCACTTCACTTTTGTGGAAATGAGACACTGAGGTTAATTTCAGAATACAATCTAACAATAGGTCTGTGAATTACAATGTACAATCAGAACTGTTTTGAAATAAACGTTTATCACTCCTCACTAAAATTATTGGCCTGGTTTGACTTTCATTATTCTACTAAACACAACCAACAGTTTAATTTACAGTCCTTAGTTTGTAATTCTTATAAAGTTTTCACTTCTGAACGAAGGATAAGAAACAGATACTTGCATCAAGAAAGACATTTTCACAGTAGGCTTGATATAGTTATTTCATAATTGGAAAGTATACGATTCTCTTTCCTATACTAATCTTTGCCTTATTGGTCTAGACATTGGACTTTCCACTAGTGGGCCACAGGTTTGAGTCCTGTTCCAGATAGTATCATTAGCCCTCATACAATATGTCAAAGATACCTAGTGGGACTGTGGCTCATTGGTCTGGGGAGATGACTTTCAACTAGTGGGTCACGGGTTCGAACCCCGCTCCACCTACAGAGGTCTGGGCAACCAAGTAGTATCATTGGCATATCATGCAATAGGTGTAGCTCACTGCCTACTGCACGAATGTGCACAAGGTTGATGAGTACATTTCAGAGAGATTTTTATGCACATATTCCCCTTTTATGAACTTGAATTGAGAAAGAACAACAGTTAGGGCAGAATAACATAGTACCAGTAAAATAAAACGGTACCATGTTTAGTCGGACAAATTACATTCAATAGATTCACTAGTTCTTTAAAGTGTGTGTATTTTCATTGCAAAAAGCTTCTAGTTCACTCTGTAGTTACGTCATCACTTCTACTAAATCTTTATACGTGTTATGTTAAGCATTAATTTCTAGAAAGTATCTATAACTATACTGAAACGATGATATTTCCACCAATTTTTCTTATTTACTAGGATGTTTTGGATCGTATCGTTGACAAAGTGAGCAGTATTCCAGAAGAAGTTGGACGTGATGCCAAAGCAGTTGCTGCACTTCAACGCAAACACAATACATTCGAATGTGAATTGGCACGTCTAGGCACACGGGTAAATCAGTACATTCCCCTATTTCTCCTTACCACGTTTACCGAGTATCGTTTACTAATTTCAGTCTTCAAATTTATTTTTTTATCATCATCTTCAACACTTATAAGTCCGTTTTCAAATAAATTAAGTTCTTTAACTTGGGACCCTCTTTTATCCGTTTACGTCCACCATTTTTCAAAGAAACTACCTCGTACTTCTGGTTTCCAACAGGTCTGTAAACATTGCCACTTTGCTTGATAACCTCAGTAAGCAGATCTTTTATTAGTTTTGTGAATCAGTAACAATAACGTGAAGAATACAGCCACCTCAACTTTTTAAGTAGATGAATGACACGGTTAACCATGAGGTTACGCTATCACTATCAATTTAAGTAAGTGGGTCTCGAAGCAGCAATAGTAAAGCTTAGGTCAGCAGCATAATACAGATCAAATTTTACTAAATTTTGTGAAATGACCGAGCGGAAGTGACTGACAGAATAATACGAAATGCGATAACTCTACTAATGTAATGGGATACTTGGACTAGATACAAATAGCAATTGTTCTCCTTCAGACGTGATACTTCACTGAGCCGCGAAAATCAGAAAACAAAAACCAGCCTGCGAGTATAAGGAAGACAACTTTATTTGACAAAAAACACGTCATTTATATACAGATTTTCCTCAGAAAATACAGCCACTAGGTCAGAAGTCAGATACTTATTTTGATTGGTCAGCTGAAGGACGAAATTGTTCAATAAGGTATTTCCTCCCATACAATAATACGAAACCAAGGTTGAAAGCTAAAACTTACTCTTAGTCTGGTGACTAATGACTTAGAATGCTGATTATGATTTAGGCCGCTTCCTACCACTTTACAACTGTGCAATGGTCTACAAATGTTTCAGATCAATGAAACCAGGTATAATATGACTATACTTTTCATTACTGTCACACAGTTCGTCATCAGAAAGAAATCCCTCTTAGGACCTTTCACAACTCCAAAGTGACCCTTTTTGTCATTTCTTTCCGTATAAAATCTGGGCATAAAACATCACTTATCAGCTTATTAGTTTGGAAAACATCCTTCAGAACTCCAAGTGAATAAATCCAGGTTCTGAGCTGCTATGCTTTTCACTGGTTAATTTGATCACAGCTTTATGGAACATCACAAACGTGATGGCTGTGTTATTATACACATATTATATTGTTTTGTACTACCATGTGATTCTTTGTAAAGATTTTATTGATGATGCTTTTTACTCATATGATATGAATAGATTTGAAACACTGTTGCTGCACTTATCATTTGGCGGTTTTATGACTCCTCTGAAGTTAGTATGCTTACTGAAACATATGTATGACAAATGAAAAAGAGCATTGTATTCGATGAATGTAAGAGTAGAACTCAGACATTCTGTCAGGGTAAAATTCCATATTAAATTTTTGTGATATCCACTAATACAGTATTGTCTGTAAGGTGAAATGACATCTAGTAAAGAATACTGTATCACTATGTTGGATATTAACTAAACAAACGTAATGTTTGTTTTTTTTTAGTTAATAGCAACTAATCACCATCATTTTATGTTTTTGCTTAATAGGTGGAAGGGATTGTCGAGTCGGCTAATGGCTTACTCCCGTCTTATGCTGCAGATAAAGAGCGTCTTATATGTGACCGTCGAGATGAGGTTATACATGCCTGGCGACAGTTACAGTGTGCTACAGAACAACGTAAAGCACACTTGCATGATGCCTCTGATGTGCATCGTTTCTTCTCTATGGTGCGTGAACTTCGCTTGTGGATGGATACTATACGTACTGAAATGACTACTAAAGAAAAACCAAGGTAAGTTGTTACGTCAAATTACTGCGTAGTTTGTCTCATCTATTTATCGCTATCACGCTATACTAATTCATGCACCTCTTAAATAGCTCCAATTTAACAGACTACAACTGATTATTACGGTAAAAAGCAAGGTTTTCAGTAGATTCATATTATTGACTTCCAGTTTACCAGCTCATTCATTGCCTTATTACAGTCAAACTTCAGACAAGTTCAGATTCTACTTTTTCACCCAGTATTCTATTCGTGCATCACACTAATCCCCTTTTTGTATAAATACGCCAGATCCATGTCACAGGTTGGTTATTAGTCTCAATGTCTGTGAAAGTATTAAATGTCGGTTTATGATATTGATGCTTAGTAGTGAAAGTATAGTCTCAGTATATGTCAGAGTTGTATGAATCTTTGAGTAAATAAAACGAAGTTGAAATTGATTAAATTTATGGGAAGATGGTAGCAAAAATAAAAATGATATAATGCGTGGTTAAAAAACTTGGAGAGTTTCACTCATAAGTTTTAGGCAGCATAACATATCTCATTCACCCTTATATTTCTTCTATCTTAAAGATTCCTGGTTAGGAACTTTTTTATAGCCTGACCATCTTCATACTTCTGAGATCACCATCTCCATCTAACCAGCATCTTGCATTCATTACCACACTCCTTATTTTATGAGCTTTGTTTGAAACTCACAGATTGTTATTTGTTTAATTGTCGAGACTCGATCAGTTATTTATTTACGTACTAGCATTTCTGATAGCAAGTTCACATAGAGTGGTTTGTAAAATTGATTTCTGGTTGGTATTTTACTGAACACAACCGTATCAGAGATCCATTGGTATCGAGATTTCTCGTTGAATTGAGGTTTGAGCATCTAAGTACTATTCCAACCAGCACACAATGAATACTAATAATAAATGGTCTAATAAAAGAACCTATATGTGGTTGCTTGGTCTCACTATATTATAATTGCTATTACTATTGCTGCTTGTATCGTTTTTACTAGAATTTACAACTGGAAAATGGATTATAAGTTTGCATCTGTTGACGAGAAATAGTGTAAAAGGATTTCACCAATGTGATATAGTCCGTTAGTACTGTTAAGTGTTACATACTATCACAAAACATTTCATAAGAATCAATTGTCTTCTAATAGACAGATTCGATGAATGTGGCTTCTGTAATCTATAACTGGATGAAGATATGGTCAATACTCCTTTATCTCTCTGGTCTACAAGTTCATTTTGCACAATTTTTATTCTAGTTAGCAAATAGTGATCTCTTCGAGTTTAGACTGATTATACCATTTAACCTTTAACCTGTTACTGTCTACTTAGACTGCAAGACAACAACTAGGATCCGATCAGTGAGAAATCTTCCACTTTGGTAAATTTTAGAGTAATTCAAGTGGAACAATCAATCATTAAATGTGAAAACTGAAGAAAGTTTCAATTGTTTGACATCTCATAGTTATTATCGAATGGAGTATGTGTAGTTTTTCTGAATACCTTCTCATCTTTTCAAGCTTTATCAGCTTTAAACCCATTCTTTTTTTGCATATTTTAGGGATGTGTCTGGAGTTGAGTTGTTAATGAATAGTCATCGTAGCCTAATGGCTGAGATAGATGCTCGAGAGGAGAACTTCAGTATTTGCCTAAGTTTAGGCCGCACACTTTTAAATCGTCGGCATCCTCGAGAGGAAGAAGTTCGAGAGAAATGCATACAGGTAATGTAATCAATCTTCATTGCAAGATTATACGCACTTTTATGTATATCGTAAACTGACACGTCTTTTTGATTAATTTACGTTATAGTTGGTGACTGAAAAAATTCTGCTCAATGACCAGTGGGCAGAACGATGGGAAACGCTGGGTCTTTTGATGGAGGTATATCAGTTTGCTCGGGACGCCGAAATAGCTGATACTTGGCTTATGTCTCAGGAAGCTTATCTCAGTAATACTGATTTGGGTGAAACGTTGGATGAAACCTTGGCACTGTTGAAAAAGCATTTCGCATTTGAACGTGCAGCCGCCACTCAGGAGGAGCGTTTCCGAGACCTTGAAAAACTCACAACCGTAAGTTGTGGTGTTGGCTATAACATGGTGTTGCATATTATATGAAATTTTACCTGTATATCTTTCTTCCCATTTTTACTATATGACTTGCAAGCTTGAATATGTGACAGAAATGTACACAGTTATCAGTTTAAAGTAACAAAAAGTGATACGGTTATTCACTACATTAAATCATCATGACCATTTTCTGACAGTATTTGTTTTATGTTTATATTTTCAGCTTGAACTAAAGGCGCGCGAAAGAACTCCGGAAACAGAAGCAGCTAAACGTCTCGAGAAAGAAAGAAAGATAGCTGAGGCTGTTAAAGAATTCCAACCTCCACCTCCTCCCGTATCTCTGCCTGTATATACACCTGTTTCAGAAGCGGATAAACGTGCAGTAGATACCAGGGATGCTGAACAAGTTAGTCGTCCTGCCTCTGTAACTACTCCACGACAAGGGCGGGGAAGTTCTGATATTGGTAGACCTGCTCCACATGATTTTGAGGGTATTTTGATTCGTAAACACGAATGGGAAACGGGCACAAAGAAAGCTTCTTCTCGTTCATGGCATGAGTTATATTTCGTTCTCTCGGCAACCGCATTCACACTTTCGGCTTATAAAGAGCAAAAACATGCTAAGGAAAGACCTGGAGATCTATATCGTCACGAAACCCCCGTTAATTTATTAGGAGCTTCCGCTGCACCAGCTTATAACTATGCTAAGCGCCGCTTTGTTTTCCGTCTTAAACTTTCTAATGGAGGTGAGTCTCTATTCCAAGCACATTCAGAAGAAGAAATGCATAATTGGGTGCAAGCTATCAATACAGTGGCATCTAGTGCTGGTGGGCAACCTTCTTCTTCTTCATCGGCTGGAGGAAAAGCAGCTACTCTCCCTTCTGGAGTTGCTCCTGAATCCCAAGGTGTAAGTAGCTCTTCTGGTACCGGAAAAAAGAAATTCTTTACTCTAGGTCGTAAAAAATAATCTTCCATGTTTCTGACTTCGCAAATTTCGCATACTCTCATTTACTATAACATACAATCTTATCTTCTAATTAAATTGAATGTCCTTGTGCTACTTTCACGATGTTTATTTTAAAAATATTTATGATCCCAACTTCATGAAAAATGGTTCACAGAGTACACAAGTCAACTATTCAACCTTTTTCCTTTCGCTAAGTGCGTTTACCCGTGCATTTTCGTCTCATTTCTGGGAGGAAATTCTATCGTTTTTTTTCTTCTTTAATCCACTTGATCCTGGCTCTTCATCATCAGCAGGTGTAAGTTTTACCTGCAGTTCCAACATCTAGGCATATAAAGAGGTGTTTGTCTTCGTTGATCACGTTATTTTATTCTATGAAAGTAATAATTGTCGAAATCAAAACCTAAAATACTTTAATAATGATCCTTAGTTTTAGGATATTATTATTAATATTGTTACTTCTATTGTTATACTTATTTCATATTTCGTAAAGTCACTCACTAACTGAGTTAGTTTAATTTTTACTGTGCTTGTCTACATGTTTCCTCCCGATTCTTTATAATACATCGATAACTTGTGAATTTTTCAATTAAAAGGTATACATTTTTGCTTTCTTCTGTTGTCTTTGGTGTTATTACTGTTTCTAACTGCCTGAAAAGGAATGCAACTCTGATTGCTTTATCCTAATTCTGTGCTTTTGTTTTTGTGTTCAACATACACTTTACTGATCACATCCTCTCATTCATATTGGTCAATCTCTTAACTAACGACAATTATAGTCTATGAGTTTAAAGTTGATTTTATTTCTTATTGTATTCCACTGTCATCCTCTATCACTTCACTCCGAAAAGCAATAGGAGAGGAGTGGAACACAATAAGAAATAAAAATCAACTTTAAACTCATAGACTACAATTGTAGTTAGTTAAGAGATTGAATGAGAGGATGTGATCAGTAAAGTGTATGTTGAACACAAAAACAAAAGCACAGAATTAGGATAAAGCAATCAGAGTTGCATTCCTTTTCAGGCATTAAGAAACAGCAATAACACCAAAGACAACAGAAGAAAGCAAAAATGTTTACCTTTTAATTGAAAAATTCACAAGTTATCGATGTATTATAAAGCTTGAACAGATTTAACCAAGAATCGGAGGGAAACAAGTAAACAAGCACAGTAAGAATTAAACTAACTCAGTTAGTGAGTAACTTTACAAAATATGAAATAGGTACAACAATAGAAGTAACAATATTAATAATAATATCCTAAAACTAAGGAGTATTATTAAAGTATTTTAGGTTTTGATTTCGACAATTAATACTTTCATAGAATAAAATAATGTGATCAAAGAAGACAAACACCTCTTTATATGCCTAGATGTTGGAACTGCAGGTAAAACTTACACCTGCTGATGATGAAGAGCCAGGATCAAGTGGATTAAAGAAGAAAAAAACGATAGAATTTCCTCCCAGAAATGAGACGAAAATGCACGGGTAAACGCACTTAGCGAAAGGAAAAAGGTTGAATAGTTGACTTGTGTACTCTGTGAACCATTTTTCATGAATTTGGGATCATAAACATTTTTAGAATAAAGACCACCCCTGCTAATGATAATTGTGTTCATTTTCTGCCTTCTGTTTTTTCATGCTTTGTCTTAGATCAGTTTTGTTATTTGTCATTGTTTTATCAATTAACCAGTTAATTAAGAGCAATACAAAATAAAATGCGCATAGTAATTTTCTCGATGTTCCCCTGACTTTTTGTTTCAATGATCATACATTTTCTCCTGCTTTATCATCTCATTGATTAACTGTTTTCACTGCATATTACTTAACCGTATGTTGACCTCAGTGAAAAAATTGAAAATCGGTAACAGTTTGTAAATTCTTAACTATTGACTAGAAATAATTTTGTAGTCAATCCCATGTTCGAGGTCTGTTGCTCAACATGAATGTGACTTTTTTATAGCAAAGGAATACCAATCTAGAGACGAGTTATTGAAGATTGGTGCTAGAGGTACGTTAATTATAAGCGATCCTGACGATCACTGTAACTTTTTTTTCAAGTAACATAATTTCAAGCTCAACCCATTCATCATGGACTATAGCCGGCCCAGATGCACCACTTCACCACTGATTCAAAGCTTGACATACTTAAATATACATTCGAAGTATGTAGGTATGACCTTGAACTGGGTGATGAGTGCATATTTCTTTGAGGAGTCTGCAGATAAGATGACACATCTATCTTGTATTGTAATCTTAAAAACTCCCGACTAATGTTGGCATGTTAAAGAATTTGTCTGATAAATACTAAGCAACCGTTTATTATGCAAGCTTAAAGTAATCGCTCTCGACCACCTTACTCTCTATACTTAGTCTTGGATCCATTGCAGACCAGCCATGAAGTGTCATCTTGCGTAAGACGAATCAAAAACCCGCATCAAACTTACTCAGATTTCGCTTAGAGCATTTGGGAGACAGCACTTTGTTGATGTCTTCCCATCCTACCGCCATGTTATCTGTGTATGCTAAATCAAACAGGTGCATTGCAGCTAACAAGCCGATCCCTGGGAATTTCAGTATATGTATGTATGGTAACCTATTAGAAAATCTCTAACAAAGTTAGATGAAAATGATGGTAGGAGATGTCCATCGTGGACATCACAGTCGTTCTTATCACTTTATAATAATCCATGACCCTCTACATATCTACATGATTTCAAGTTCTAAATATTCATGAACATAATATGCCTGTTTGGAGCTCTCCTTGCAGTTAGACACTGTCACAATACCTCTATCCAATGAAGTCGAATACCACCTTCAGGTCAACCAATACCAAGCCTGTCTATATTTCAGGATCTCTAGGTCTGAAATTCGTCAAATTGTAAATATGTGAACAGATAACTGAACCAATATTGTGAGATTCTTATGGTTTTGTTTAGGCCGAAAATTTTTTATAGTGATTTAGGCTCCATTATACACCGAAATGTTTGAACAGTTGGTTGAACTGCTGTACTAATTATCAGTCCAATGACATTGCAAATAATTTGCATCGATTTCTTATGTAAATGTGGTATGTTATTAAGAAATAAGTTCATGTCTGGATTTTAATTTGAACAAATTCAACTCCTAAACTTTTTCCTAGTTAGCTATAAAATTTATGAGTTCGCTTCTACACCTACAGCTTGAACTTATGTTAGTGCTTCTCCTCTTCACTTCTCATCGGATAGAAGTGTGGCTTATTGACCTAAGTAGTCAAGGTTCAGCCTACAGCTTACTAGTTCTAAACTCACCCCATCTATCAGGGTTTGATTGACAGCCTAAGTCTTCACGCAGAAGGTGCGACTGACTGCCTAGTACACAAACTTGTTCATGGTCTTCTCTCTACTCATCTTAAAAATGATGAAAGTACTACAGGAAATGGTTTTCTTGCATAAAGTGTGACATTTGATATGGTTTATACACCCGTTATATAAGTCTGCTAGTCGATTTGAGTCGTTGCATTTCATATGTTGAACAGTTATTCCATTAACAGTAATGCCAAAGAAGCATATCATTGGTACTGTGCTCAAAGATGAAAGTGACTTACTTACTATTCTATACAATCTATTTTGCCAGTACCATTGCGAAAATGGTAGAGTGAATTTTTTAAAAACAGCTGATAGGATAGTTAACCAACTCATTACTTTCCGTCTTATAATCTAGTCGTTTGTTGAATAAAAAACCAAATGTGAGTTTTATCCCCTGAATTTACTGTTATTCATATGATTAACTTTGAACCGAATCGAAATCCAGCCAGCAATCTTGTGCACATCCGTGCAGTAAGCAATGAGTCACACCTATTGTATGAGGACCAATGGCTGCCTAAACCTCAGTAGGTAGAGAAGTGTTCGAACCTATGACCCATTGGTTGTAAATCATCTCCTTAAATGGTTTATATTCACAGTACACTATAGCTCCACTGATAACAACAATGAATCATACCAGATTACATCGAGATTTTTAGTATGATTGTGCAATTGATAATAATTCCATTTTGAAACAATAGCTCTTCTTGGTGATATCTTGGGATTCCTACAACCGTCTAATGTCAGCATAACTCAGAAACAACTTAGGAACTTCATTGAGTCATAGAAACGGCATTTCAGCGAATAAAATCTTATAGACAATACTGTTTAATAAATCTGAACTGAATACTAATAGAGCATTTCCTTATCCACAGTTTTTTCGAGAGTAGATTAATGACTTGTTTTTATCAGAAAATAAGTAATAAATATTATTTACAACCCAAATGTATTCGTCTTATTGAGTTAGTCTCTACTGATATTTAATTTGTCTAAGTTGAGAAAGACTACGATTACAGCATTCAATTGAGATGCGTTGATCCAACTAAATGATAAGTCGCTGTCTAGTTGCTTTGCAACTTCAAATGTTACATACATCTCACAAAGCTACGTGGTATCATATAACTATGCGCTAATATTTCGTGTGCCTAGCAAAGGAGTAGCCAATGACTAATAAACTACCAGGCTATCTCAACTAAGGCCTCAATTCATTATTATCACTTAGGCTGAAAACATCATGCTAGTAGCCTTTCAAGACCTAATATTGCCCATAGACGGGTTGCAGCGGTTATACTCCTTTCTTTGCAACTCCACTCAGCTTTTAGCGAATACAAAAAGTCGAGCATTCAACACCCAATTTTGATGATTCATTCAAGTCGATGATGTATGTGAAGGATGTTTAATAGACGTGGATTGTTTGAAGCTGTGAACTTAACACTACCAAGAGTTTCAAGTAGCTCTTAGCGTTGCTGGTCAATCAGCCGCTGCCTTTAGGCAAAAGAGTTTAAATCTCATCAATTTCATACGATTTGATGCATAGGTCAACTGCTCTTCGAATCCTATTGACGATTTTTCACCCTTACTTGCAAACTGTTTTACGCATCCGTTAACTGCGTCACTGTCAATCTCGAAGGTTATCCCAAGTTAATGAAATCATGGACTATTCTCATAAAAGAA